TTAAAACTAAGATATCTCTATTTAAAACTAAGATATCTCTATTAACAATGAAATTAGAGATATCTTAGTTTTAAACAGAGATATCTTAATTTTAAATAGAGATATCTTAGTTTTAAATAGAGATATCTTTGTTTTAAACAGAGATATCTCTATTAACAGAGATATCTCTATTTAAAACTAAGATATCTCTATTAAAAACTAAGATATCTCTATTAAAAACTAAGATATCTCCATTTAAAACTAAGATATCTCTATTTATGATTAAATGACAACTCGGCTCGCCATAAGGGTTTGCACGATTATAGTGAGCCTGATCCTACGCTTACCAATTACTGACTGAGCAACGTCACCAAACTCATACGCAAGATCACCGGTTCCACACCCGACGTCCAGGATTTTGTCGTCTGCCTTAATTTCAAAATCTGGCACATAGAGTCTGTATGTAGCAACTTGAAATCCTCTAGTTTTAGAATAAAGAGCAGCTTCTTTCGAGTTCATTATGACCAATAAGCAATACCGTATAGGATGTGTGATCAAGCAATTAATCAATCAATCAATCAACTATTGGCATATTCGACTTCTGCCTTGATTGTTGTCAAGTCTTGCAAAACACAAATTGTATTACTGGTCACCGGTTCAAAAATGAAGAATGTTTTTACGAGTTCAGTGAGATCGAGTCTTTCAATAACCGACAGTGTATAAAGGTGTCACCTGTATTGTTCTGAAAGGTCACCACAAGCACAAACGTAATCCATTACAGATCATCATGCCTGCGGCCTTGATTACCAAATCCATAGCTAGTTAAAGGAATTAAGTCACTTAAGTTAAGTGACTTAACTCAGGGGCGGATTTAGGGGGGGGGGCGGCCCGGCCCCGGCCCCCCTTTTGGGAGGTAAAAAAAGGGGAAAAAAAAGAAAAAAAAGAGAGAAAAAGAAAAAAATGATAGCCCAGAATGCCTCAAATGTTATGTTCCGGCGTCTAGAACACAAAAATTTCGCGGGGGCATGCCCCAGACCCCCTACGACAGTGTTGTCTCAATCGGCCCAACTTTCGGCCCCCGCTTCCGGCCCCCCCTTTTGGACATTTCTGGATCCGCCCCTGTAACTTTACTAGAATAACGGTAAATTAACTTGCTTAACGGTAAAGTTGGCTCGGATTAAAAGGACACGATTACCGTACGTAACGTGGCATCTAAGCCAGCTTTGTTGTATTATACCACCATTATCATCTTCTGGCTGGCAACAACGTACTTCAACAATGCTGGTTTTCAGAAATTATTTGTAATATTTTGGGTAAACACCCAGCAAACGTCCGTTTTACGAATAGTCGATATTACCAATGACCTTTGCCCTTTGCATCATCGACCAAGTAATAACGTTAAAAAGTCCG